CATAAAAATTTTGGAAATTGAAAGTCCAAAAATGAGTTACAAAATGCACTATTTCCAAAACTTGAAATCCATTTTTTTTCTCACGTCTATGCATCTTGATATCGAGATGACCAGTTTGAGGGTATTTGGACATCAAAACAGCCTTTTTTAGTGATAATTTTTAGGTAGGCTTTAATTTGATTGTTTAGAGCCTTTGCTCTATATAAACTTTTCCCTGGAAAAAAAAAGATTTCAAGTTTTGAAAATAGTGCATCTTGGAACGCATTTTTGGAAAGTCAATTTTCAAGATTTTTGGAAAATCAATTTTCAATATTTTCAAGTTTTTATAGATCTGCTCGATCTACACTATTTTTGAAGTTTTAAATTTTATAATTAAGGCTATCAAAAAGAATTTTATAATTAAAGATGAAAATATTTTTTAAAGCTATCAAAAAGATTTTCAGTATTGAAACTATATTTCTCCATACTATTTAAAAGTGCGTTTAACTTCAATTGTTTAGAGCCTCAGCTCTATACAAACCGCACCCAACAAAGTGTGGTTTAACTCATTGTATTTTTGTCTATTATTTCGATGTGGGTTACTACGCAAAATGCAGCCTTCACTCATCCCCTTCATTTGAGTACTAAGGGTAGTTATTTTGGGTAGTTTAGTAGTTGGCATCGAGTTTGGGCTGGGCCAAAAAAAATAAAAAAAATAAATAATAATAATAATAATAAGAGCTAGGTTGGGCCTATTTGGGCAGCAAATGATCCTAGCTCGGCCTTGGGTATGTAGCCCATGGCCTACTTTTTCAAGGGCCGTCAAGGCTGCTCGTTTATTGTAGATATATCCCTGCAAAATGGAGCGTTGATATGTGATTTTTTTATTTTATAAAATAAAATTATTTATTTTTACTACAATCATTATTAATCATTAAATATGAATTTGAATAGCTATGACATTTATATGATTGAATGGGCCCATTGATTGAATTGTGTGGCACACTTTCATTGTCAAATTGTACGGGTAAAAGTGATTTTGACATCTTTGTATTAAAAATGAATGGGTCATATACTGTTTTTATTTACGGGAGACGGGTGTAAACGAGTTCTTCTACTTGCTGCCGACCTGTTTTTAGAGCTCGGGAGTTGCAACAAATTTGTTTCGAGAATATTTGGGTAGGGTTTGAGGACTCGGGACCAATTCAATTTATTGTATGGGAGAGAGGAATTCAGTAGCCGCATTAGTAAGTTGTACATTTAGGGGCTGTTTGGGTATCTAAAAATTTAT